AGTATTATATAAAATTGAAAAGCACAAGTGTATTACGTATTTGATGGAATATGTATTTTCTCATGTCTTCTTATAAATACCGTATTATTGCAGTAACAATAGCGGTGATAACAATGAACGAACTCAAAGTTTAGGAAAACCAATCTGTGATGCGATAACTTCTTATTACAGTGGTGATTATCATAAAGTTGTTCAGACATTAGCGCCCATACGACACAATGTATACAACATAGGTGGCAGTAATGCACAAGTAAGTTTATAACCTTTACTGTATAAAGTTTACACTATAAACTTTACCTTTACTGTATAAAGCACATATAAGTTATACCGTAATACATGTTAGTATATAGTATGCAGGAAAGCCAAAGGAGTGCGATAGCTTATACTAGTTTATAACTTGGAACTTTTGCTAATATATACTGTAACGACATACTGTGGTATACCATATAAGTGATGATATTGCACAAAACTTTATTTTTCAAATTCAATGTTTAGAGTTCATACTAACATTTGACTTCCAGATAAGAAAACACGTATGGAATAAACGCTGATGTATTCTTTTGATATACTGCATACTGTAACAACCTGCATATTGTATCATCCTGCATACTGTACCATTGTACATACTGTAGCATACTGCGCCATTTGTCTGAGCAGTAAAATAACGAAAAAATGACATTTTAAATAGGGGAAAAGAAAAGAAATGCATCAGTTTTTATTCTAAGCGATATAATACCATGTATTACTGTAATATTGAAAACAACTAACATGGAAAAACAACACGGAAATATTCTTCGTTAAATCATTTTATGTTATACAATACAATTCATGCTTGCCATATATCAAATCAGGATTTGATATATGAATTAGAAACTGTATTGTGTGTTCTAGATTTAGATCATATCACTAGTTGATTAAATGAATAACAGGAATAATTATTTCAATATTAATTTCTATATTTCAGCGTGATGTATTCACACAATTACTTATTCATAGTGCCATGTCGTCAACAGAAGTAGATGATCATAAGCTTGGAAAGTAAATAATTTTTATTATAATTTAAAGATTCTTTAATCCAAGTTTAGAATCTTACTTACTCATTCGTTACAGTATGTCTCTTGATAATAGCCTGATTATAGGCTTATCAATTTTTTTTTTCACTTATTCTTCATTTTCAATCAAACTTTTGATAGTTCATCGGGCCAATTGGTTCAGGCATATGATTAAATTAAACTTTCATGGCATATATATATATATATATATATATATTGTTATTCTAGCTTATTTTGTATTCATTGATAGAATATTCAAAATTAATTTCATAGACAATTAATAATTACTGTATAATTTTTTGTTCAAATAAATACTAAAATAAATATTTTGAATTTTTAGATTAATATTGGAAGAACGAAATGTAATAAAGAAGAATTCAACGTTGAGTCAAAGATTATTAAACAAATATAATCAATTAAAAGGCATTTAATCTCAAATTTAGTAATTCCATATTAAAATCGATTTCCTTTTACTTTCAATTCTTGCAACAACACTTATCCATTTATTTCGTGATTTTATTGTTTATCATAATAGATATGCAACATCTATTAAAGATATTTTTTTTCTTTTAAATATATATTCAAGTATATTTCATTTGATAATAAATAAATTTAAAATTCTCCTTCCAATACATATTTTAACTTAACTTATTTCACCATACAATATTGCATTATAATAAAAGTTTAAATTTTATGCCATAAAAATAGTAAGTAATTAAATTACTAAATAAATAAATTTTCTATCATTTTTTTCCCCTAAATATTAAACAAATAAAGAATAAAAAAAAAGAATTAGAAAAAAAATTTTTTTTTCTACAATTCAATTTCTTCTAATGTGAAACATATAATATTTGATCGCATCATTAACAATGAAATAAAATGATATGATTAATAATCTTTCTAATTATCATTAATAATTTATTTGAAGGAGGGGGAGAGAAAAAAGGCAACAATAAATTTTCTCGTTGTTTTAAATTTTTCTTTTTTTGTTTATAAAAAATCAAAGATGATAGATTAAAAAACAAATTTTACAAAATAGTTTTCTTACTTAAATTTAATTTAATACAACAAATAAAAATTATCAAAATTATATCAATTATCAATTAAATCGATTTAATATAATTCATTCCCATTGATTATTTGGATGATATATATTGTAAAATATAGTGATAAACTCATTTGTTATAATAAATAGTTATGGTATTTGTAATAATTATCAAATTATTTTATCCATTATCATTTTCATATGAGTAAATTTGATTATTCAGTTTTGTTTTATCAATGTTCACTTTCGATAATGCACCATTTTACTATTTCTTGCATAACATGGCAAGATTTTTGATGGATTTAGAATTTGAAGTAAATTTGAATAAGTAATTGAATAAGTAATAGTTTGAATAAATTAGTAATTTGAATAAATAATAGTTATTTCAAATTAAAATAAATAAATAAATTTGTATCAGAACAACTAGTTAGGAAATGTTTACTTCCTAACAAACAGTTCGAATTATCAGTATCATATCGATTAATTGTTAAAATCATATCAATCAACAAACAGCTAGCAACTAAACAAACAAACAAACAAACAAACCATTAAAAAATTTTACTAATTAGGATTAATTAGTGTTAGGTATAGGGCTTCATAGATTTCATGATAATTGTTATCAATCATTTCATAAACAATTTACATTCTTCAAATACAAAGCAATATTTATTTATTCCCTTCTTTTTTTTCGATATTTATAATTCACTGCGACCAAAAGCAAACAAAAAAAAAAGCAAACCAAAATGATAATAAATAAAATAAAAAAACAAAAAGGAAAAAAAAAAGAAAATTCAAAATCTATACAAATGACTAGAAGTTTTCAGCAATTGATAAAAAATAATCAATGAAACATATGAAGTAATATTGTACAATTCAATATGAAAGTTTAAAGATTAAAATATTTTAAAATTAAATAAAAGAATGAATAAATTAAATAATTGAATTTAAATATAATGATGGGAAAAAAACTTAAATATGTCAAATTAGTATTCAGTATTTTGGGATTAAAAAAGAAAAAGTATTATTCAAATTAAATTATTCCTTTTTTTCAGTTTTTCAGTTTTCATTTTTTCCCCTCAAATAATCTCATTATATTTTGAAGAAAATGATTGAAGTAAAGGAAGGAAAAAAAATTTTTTGAACTTTTAAAAGTATACAAAAATATGATAACATTTTTAGATGTATGTGGAAAAAAGCAAAAATTTAGCAACAAATGAACCGTAAAAAAGAAAGATCAATAAGATAACTTTTTTTTTTTGCATTAAAAAAATAATTCATACATAGAGAAAAATTAATGAAATCTTTTGAAAAGATTAAAGATTATCAAAAGATTAAAGATTAAAATTGAATAAAATCGAAAAAAATCAATAATAAAATAAAAAAAAAAAGAAAAGCAGATAAACAATATGTCCAACAATATTTCATAAAATCATTTACAATTGAAATTTTTTACAGTTTAAATAAAATTTTTTGATATAATTCCACAATGATACAAGCGATAATTTAAAAAAAAAAAAAAAAGAAAAACAAAACAAAACAAAACAAAGTAAATTTTTGGAAATGAATCATATTTAAATTTAATTCAATTTAAATTACATATTCAAATTTTTCTTGCATATAAAATCATATTCATTATTCAAATTTGTTGGGATTTTGAAATTAAAAAATCAAATTATTTAAATTTAAAAAAATTATATCCAAATTTGTCTTCAAAAAAAAA